GAGTTTGGACTGATAACCCAATCAGATGGGACATTTCCCACCTGCAGCTGTACGTATACAAAAGGGAGGGGATGCTCATGATGTTAATAACCTAATAAGGCTGCTGCTAATTAGGTCGGTGAGGATGTGATCATGTGATGGATTTCCACAAATTTTCTTGAACTGGCTTCAAAATGAGTTTGGACCATAATCAGCTCATCCCTAGTGCTCAGTAGGGTTGAGGTCAGAACTGCAGACTACTCAAGTTCCTCTGCATCAACCTCATCATACAGCTGGTTGTCTATGTGTAGTAGAGAGCTGCAGTGAAGGATATCATGCTTGACTTGCTTCCTGAGCTGTTAGTGGCTGAGAAGGTGCCATGTAGTTGGATTCTGGGTTCTGGGGATTATGGCACCACTGGCTTGGGTTGAAGTCTTCAGAGAAGGAAGCTTAATCCTTCATACGAAGTCCCAAATGAAAATTCCCATGGAGAGGTTGGAGTCATACTGTAAGATGACTCTTTGATTTTTAATCAAAATGCTTCCAGTGTTGACTCAAAATCATGTTGAGTAAAGACTTTTTTTTTTTACCACATTTGTGTGGATTTTGATAACTCCTTTGCACCATAAAAGAAAACCTGAACTGGAGATAATGTGATTACTGCAGAAGGGGAAGGGGATTGATATTAGTTGCCCAGAGACCAATGATGCAGCAGTTGTCAGAATGCCAGGAAAGAAAGAGGGTGAGGAGTCAACAGACACGGGATGAGCATGAACTGTCTGTGCTGGAGGTACATTGAATGCCCATACTGTATATTTTCTGAGAAGGTATATAGATACGGGGGCACACTGAGAAAGAGAGAGTGGCATGAGGTCCACTGGAGAAGATTCTGTCTCTTTTCAGCACTGCCTCCCTCTTTTTATCCACAGGTTCCATATATATAAACATTCATGTGCTCTTAGCAATTACTATAATCAAATGTTGTGTATGTATTGTAAATTATTATCACACTGTTTATTTAGTAATTGTGAATTTTGACATTGCTTGCTTTTCCATATAAATCTTGCTGCATTTAATATACAGACTGGTAGTCACTAAATGACTTGCTGGATAATTCTGCTGTTTTATAGCTGTCTGTTTTCCACGGCTCTCATGTATGGGAGAGGACTGAGATGTGATGGGGGGGACTGTGAGGAGATGAGACCTCTGACATGAAGATGGGGTTCTGAAGTGAAGTTAAACTGGAGCTTCAGTCAGGTTTTCAAAAATTAAAAGTCAACAGCTAGGGATCCATCACTGTACTCACCTGGGATAGTTATTTAGGTCATGGTGCCTCCAAGTTAACTGCTGGAATCCAACTGTGACTCCTTGTAGCTTCATGGCTGGCTTCCCACTGTGCATGTGTGTGCTGAATCCGAATCCCACAGCCTCTTGCTACTTGTGACTTGTTCCAGCAGGCTGCAGGAGGGGGGGGGGTGCTGAACTTCCTCTCTGAGTGCCTAGGTCAGGGGTGGGCAAACTTTTTGACTTCAGGGCCGCAATGGGTTCATATATTGGACCCGGGGGCCGGACCAAGAGTAGATAGTAATTCATCCCCCATAGTAATTCATCCCCCATATAGTAATTCATCCCCCATAATAGTAATTCATCCCCCATAGTAATTCATCCCCCATAGTAATTCATCCCCCATATAGTAATTCATCCCCCATAGTAATTAATCCCCCATATAGTAATTCATCCCCCATCAGTAATTCATCCCCCATATAGTAATTCATCCCCCCTATAGTAATTCATCCCCCCTATAGTAATTCATTCCCCATATTAATTCATCCCCCATATTAATTCATCCCTCATATAGTATTTCATCCCCCACAGTACTATTCCACCCCAAGTAGTAAGCCAAGTCCCCCCTGTGTCAATTCACTTACCTTTGCTACGCGCGTTCCTCTCGCCGTGTTCCCGCGCCGTTCCGGTCTTCAGGGCGAACTGTGAGAGGAGCCTAGCTCCCCTCACGTTCGTCACGCTGCCCCACCTACACACATCCTGACAGCCAATGTTTGCCTGCCCTGGCTGTGTTTTTTTTTTATCACGCTCCGCGGGCTGGATTAAAAGGTCCGCCGGGCCGCCCGGGCCGTAGTTTGCCCATTGCTGGCCTAGGTAGTTGGAGTGACAGTGGGAGTGGATACTTGTCAAAACTAGGTACCCATTCCCCCCTCCAAAAAAAACAAAATTGTCTGTCAGGGAATGCCTGAACGATTAATTTGGTCAGGTAAGTAAAACAAACCACAGTGCCTCCATTACAAAAATAATTTATACAAATAATTTAACTGACTTAATTAATTATTCTGAGTTATTTTGTCAAGCAGAAATCTTTAAAGAAAACACAGTAAGATGTAAAAAGTATAGACTGAGGCTTTACAAAAAATATATTTATTTTCCATAAGTCACTTACAATAATACATACATAATATTCAGCTTGGGATATGCATAGACACTTAGATATTTGTGTAAATGTTCTACAATTGTCTGCAACAGCAGAGTATATGTAGTGAATTCAACTCAATAATTAATTTCCCCCTGTAGACAACAAAACCAGTAATAACTACCTAGCAGATGATAATCTGCGTTTTACAGAGTTTGACTATTCTTCTCCTACAGAAAGAATAAGCGTTGAAATACATCAGAGTGGGTACCAATATGGCCAAGAAAAGGAAAACAATAAAAAATAATCTTAAAAATTCAATAATTAATTTCCCCCCATAGACAACATAACCAGTGATAACTATCTAGCAGATAACAATCTGTGTTTTATGGAATTCGACTGTTATTCTCCTGCAGAAAGAATGGGCACCAAGATGGCTGAGAAAAGAAAAAATAATAACAAAAATTTAAAAAAAACGACCCGACTAGTGGTTATGCTATCATGGGGAAAAGTTTCAGCAATGATTATTGTACTTGGCCCATTAATTAAGGCATAAAATTAAATAATACAAAAAAATTAAATATTATATTTACCTTCCAAGTATACCAGGTAGAGTTTTAGGTGGCTACCAGACCCAAAAGAGGGTTGCCGATTATTAGGCAGAGTTTGTCTTTCCCAAAATGGCATCTACCTATGGTGGAGTTGTGTATCCTAGCTTCAGTGAAGTGTCAGCTGATGGGATGTGATGATTCCCTGTAGATGGTGGTGTGTGATCTGATGGCGAAGTCTCCTAGATGTTCCAATCTCTAGATGATGGGCGTGTATGTGTCTTGTCCACATGACTAGCTATCTTATTGAGTAGCAGACATATAAATTCATACAATTTTGATAAACCTGGCCCAGAAGGTGTAACCTTCTCTATTATTGGTGTTTCATTATAATGATCAACCTTGTGTTTGCCTGCGTATTAGCTCACCATTAATGTCTATTTCAGTTTTCCAGTGGAAAATGGATCTTATAAATATAATCTAGTATAGAATGAATTCAAATTTTACTAGAACAAGATGGACTGATTGATTCTACCTACCGTAACATATATAGAATGCCTTTGGTGAGTCTGGTGATTTCTAATTTATGATTATTACTGTTTTTGAGTAGCAGTATTTAAATGGAAACATCTAACTCCAGAGATGGCATGATTTCATGCCAGAGCAGCAAAACCCAAACAAAAAATTGAACCTCCAAAATCAATTATTAATCATATACATACAATTCCCACACTATAAAACTATTATTCAGGTATGGCTACATTATAAAGCAGTCATTTTAAAAATAATATTAACAAATAAACAACCATAACTATAGTAAGCTTAAAAGGATTCTTTTAGGATTATATGATGTTTCATCCTGGATATATATTATTATTATTATTATACAGTATTTATAAAGCGCCGATAGTTCGCTCAGCGCTGTACATTACAAAGGGGGACAGAACATGTGACAGAACAATACCAATACAATGCAAAACATGAGGGGATTGAGGGCCCTGCTCTTTCGAGCTTACAATCTAGGAGGGAGGGATGGTGGCACAGGAGGAGATAGCTGTGGGGGATGGAGTGGTAGGAAGAGTGGAGGAGGTCGGCAAGTTAGCAGGGGGTGGGGTAGGCTTCCCTGAAGAGATGGGTTTTCAGGGTGCGCCTAAAGGAGAGGAGAGTAGGTGATAATCTGATGGGTTGGGGCAGGGAGTTCCAGAGGATGGGTGACACCCTGGAGAAGTCCTGGAGGCGGGCATGGGAGGAGGAGACCAGGGAACTAGAGAGAAGGAGGTCTTGTGAGGAGCGGAGTGTGCGTGTTGGGTGGTACTTGGATATTAGGTCAGTGATGTAGTTCGGGGCAGTATGGTGGACGGCTTTGTACGTCAGTGTTAGGATTTTGAATTTGATCCGTTGTGCAATCAGAAGCCAGTGGAGGGATTGGCAGAGGGGGGTGGCGGAAACGGAGCGCTTGGAAAGGTGAATGAGTCTGGCAGCCGTATTCAGGATGGACTGAAGCGGGGATAGCCAGCGGTGAGGCAGGCCAGTGAGGAGGGAGTTGCAGTAGATATATATATACACCATATTGCCAAAAGTATTGAGCCAGTCCTCCAAATCATTGGATTCAGCTGTTTCCAATCACCTCCATGGCCACAGGTGTATAAAATCAAGTATATGAAGAGACAAAAAGAGGGCGCACGGGCCTAGTGCATTACCTTTAAAAACAAAATTTATTGATAAAAAAGTAAAATACTCACAAGAGAAATCAAATCAAATGGAGAGCATGTCACAAGAAATGCAGTGTGGTCCAATACCACTGAAGGTAGTCTGGTGGGGACTGTAGACCTCTGGATAGCTGATGACTAACACGTTTTGAGGCTGTACCTCTTCCTCACAGCCAATCATATACAGTTCTTTTTGGATTTCCCTGGTCTGTTGAGGGGAGCAAGGCTTGCATTCCTTTCATACACATGTGGGGATACTGACATTGTGGAGTCCATTATCCAGCGCAGGAGCTCAGGCATTCGTTTGCTTTCTTCTTCCATATAAAATCAAGTACCTAGGCATGCAGATTGCCGACAAATATTTGTGAAAGAATGGGTCACTCTCAGGAGCTCAGTGACTCCAAGCGTGGTCCCGTGATAGGTTGTCACCTGTGCAATAAGTCCATCCATGAAATTTTCTTGCAACTAAATATTCAATGGTCAACTGTTAGTGGAATTATAACAAAGTGGAAGCAACTGGGAACAACAGCAACTCAGCCACCAAGTGGTAGGCCATGTAAAATGACAGAGTGGGGTCAGCGCATGCTGAAGTGCGCAGAAGTAGCCAACTGTCTGCAGAGTCAATAGCTAAAGACCTCCAAACTTCATGTGGCCTTCAGATTAGCACAACAACAGTGTGTAGAGAGCTTCATGGAATGGGTTTCCATGGCCAAGCAGCTGCATCCAAGCCTTACTTTACCAAGTGCAGTGCAAAACATTGGATGCAGTGGTGTAAAGCACGCCATCACTGGACTCTAGAGCAGGGGAGACGTGTTCTCTGGAGTGATGAATCATGCTGTCTGGCAAATCCGATGGGCGTGTCTGGGGTTTGGCGGTTGCCAGGAGAACGGTACTTGCCTGACTGCATTGTGCCAAGTGTAAAGTTTGGTGGAGGGGGATTATGGTGTTGGGTTGTTTTCCAAGGGTTGGGCTTCGCCCCCTAGATCCAGTGAAGGGAAATCTTAAGGCATCAGCATACCAAGACATTTTCTGACAATTTCATGCTCCCCAACTTTGTGGGAACAGTTTGGGGAATGCCCCTTCCTGTTCCAACATGACTGCCCACCAGTGCACAAAGCAAGGTCCATAAAGACATGAATGAGCGAGTTTGCGGTGGAGGAACTTGACTGGCCTGCACAGAGTCCTGACCTCAACCCCATAGAACACCTTTGGGATGAATTAGAGTGGAGACTGTGAGCCAGGCCTTCTCGTCCGACATCAGTGCCTGGCCTCACAAATGTGCTTCTGGAAGAATGGTCAAACCTTCCCATAGACACCCTCCTAAACCTTGTGGACGGCCTTCCCAGAAGAGTTGAAGCTGTTATAGCTGCAAAGGGTGGGCCAACTCAATATTGAACCCTACGGACTAAGACTGGGATGCCATTAAAGTTCATGTGCGTGGAAAGGCAGGTGTCCCAATACTTTTGGCATTATAGTATATATATATATATATATATATATACATGGACAAGTGTCTTGATACTTAAATTTCTTTTAGTCTTTTTCTTAAAATGTTCCAATTATATCAAGTTTTATATGATAACTCTTGAAATGTGTCACTTCTTTTCAGACAATTTCTCTCGGGATGACTGTTTGTTAAGTTCTCACACATCGTCCTTCAATCTTTGGTACAATAGGACCTCTATCCTTGACGGGGGTATGAGATTGTTTATTCCCTGCCACCTGGGCAAACTTACAATGTGTCTTCACAACACACATTTATGAGACCTGGAAGTTCTTGTAAACATTGGTCAGTTTCTGGTTGGTGCTATGTGAATATCAGATGCTCCATTGTTGAAAGGATTAGTTCTGTGAGCAAGTTTGTTTGCAGACCAATTTGATTCAGATCCTGCCAATTGGGATAGTCAAACGGCAATGAAGGCATTTGTCTCTGAGATTACTTGGGATCTGTCTCATACAGTCCAAAATTAACCGCTTCCTGTCCGCCCTGCAGTACAGCTACAGGGACGCACGGGTACTCAAAATCTGTATATATACATGATTTAGCATTTCCGGGTAGCGGGCGCACCCGAGACACAGCTGTCAATCACCAGTGATTTACTCGCCGGCACCTGGTGATTGCCGAGCATCTCTGACAGGGGGAGAACTGTTTGTAAACAAAACAGTTCTCTCCCCTGTCAGTGCTTACATTGAAGCACAAACACAGCCACACGGTGTAAAACTGCACACAGTTAACCCTTTGATCACCCCTCATGTTAATACATTTCTGTCCAGTGCCAATAGTACAGTGTCAGTGTTTTTTATTAGCACTGATCACTGTATTAGTGTCACTGGGGATGTCAGTGACATCAAGTCAGTTCTCCCCAGTGTCAGAATGCCCGCCGCAGTCCCGCTATAAGTCGCTGATTGCTGCCATTACTAGTAAAACAAAAATCCCAGTATACATACCGCCATTTGTAAACGCTATAAATTTCACGTAAACCAATTAATTTACACGTATTGAGATTTTTTTTTAGCAAAGACATGTCACACAATGTATTTTGGCCTCAATTTATGATAAAATTTGATTTTTTTAATTTTTTTTACTGGACATATTTAATAGCAAAATGTCAAAAATAATTTTTTTTTCTCAAAATTGTCGGCCTTTTTTTTAGCGCAAAAAAATAAAAAATGCAGATGCAATCAAATACCACTGAATGAAAGATCTATTTGTGGGGGAAAAAAGGACGTAAATTTCATTTTGGTGCAGCGTTGCATGACCGCGCAAGTGTCAGTTAACGTAACGCAGTGCTGTAACGCAAAAAATGGCCTGGTCAAGAAGGGGGGTAAAACCTCTGGAGGGTCAATGGTTAAAAATGTTAAAATATATATATTTTTGTCATAAACGTTGTGACATGGTAGAGGAGGGGGAGGAGGAAGAAAAGCGTAACTTCAGTTTTTGGGTGAAGTTCTGCTTAATTTCATTGAGGTGGTTGTGTGCATTGTCCCAGGCTCAGGGTCCCATTGATAAGTGCCTTTTATACATTTTAGACTGGAGTTCCTTGAGATTTTGCATAATTGTAAAGGCTGTCGCAACTATTTTTATTATACAGTATTTATAAAGCGCCAACAGTTCACTCAGTGCTGTACATTACAAAGGGGACAGAACATGTGACAGAACAGAAACAATACAATGCAATACACGAAGGGTTCAAGGGCCCTGCTCTTTTGAGCTTATAATCTAGGTAAAAAACATTTAAGAAACCCTGCTCTAGACAAAGACTTTTTTTTTTAGTTTTGAATAGAGTGTGGAAGGATTAGATCCTCTATCAAGTTTTTATTGCTATCTGTGTCCCCATTGGACAGATTCACCGCTCTAACTGCACTGGTGACCATTGTCACTGAGAAAGAAAATGAGATGAAATCCAAAATTTTACAGCTGTTCCCAGAGCTGGCTGGAGGACAACTGTCTAAGGCAGTGGTTCTCAACCTGTGGGTCGCGACCCCCTTTGGGGGTCGAACGACCCTTTCACAGGGGTCCCCTAAGACCATCAGAAAACACATATTTCCGATGTGTAAAGAGCAGCTACTGTGTAGAAAGCAGCTGCTGTGTTGAAAGCAGCTACTCTGTTAAAAGCAGCTACTGTGTTGAAAGCAGCAGTATTGGAGGTAAAACGACACTCATGAATTATAATTACTGGGTAAATAATTTCTATGGTTGGGGGTCACCACAACATGAGGAACTGTATTAAAGGGTCACGGCATTAGGAAGGTTGAGAACCACTGGCCTAAGGGAAAATCCCCCCACTTGGGTAGATTTTATCTAAATTCCTGATAACTATCTTGGACAGGAAATTAAGGTAAATTTCCCCAATGACTGTAAAAAAAAAAGTTGAGGTTTTACCCTTCCCCACCAAAAAAAAAAAAAAGAAAGTTTGGGCTTTATATACACTTTAGGATGAAACATCAGCCATACATGGAGTTCGTTCTTTTCAATGATTTGGGTAACTCATAGACTTGAATAGTGAGAAAGAAGTGCAACCAGCGTAGCGTCTGCAAAAGCAGAAAGCCGAGCCTGCATATGTAACAAACAAATGTGACTTTCCCCACCTACATAAATAATTACAAGCAAAAATACTTTTGAAAACCTTACTGAAGGCAATAGATGCCCTCTTCAAGGTTATGTTGTCTCATAATGTTACGAACGTTTATGACGCCTGGAACAAAGCAGAATATACAAGGTGTTTTTCGTCAACAGATTTGTTGGGACAGCAAAGGGTTAAACGTTGGCAGAAACCTAGGCTGTTTACACTATCATGTTCACCCACACATTGTTCCATCTGTTATCCTACCCCACACTATCAGCTCCAACATAAAAGTTCGTAGCTCAATAAATGTAGCACACAAAAACGAGACCTACATGATAAACAATGGATCTTGTTGACGTACATCCAATTACATCATATACAACGTATACAGAAATAAAGTGCTGGTGCATAAGATATTTCATTGTTCCAGTAAATAAATCTTGTTAATTCTCTGGTAGAACAGCAAAACAGCAAATAAGATACACCTATTTAATCCAGCATATTTTAAGACCCAATTTCACCAAAAAAATGTGTTTTTGTTTTGGATGGAGCGGGGAAAGGTTAAAACATGTTCTGTGTAGACAGGAAGTAAGGGAAGCTCGGCCTCATGCAAAATTTGCAACATTACGATCCCAAGACACTGTTAACCTTGTCCATGGACTACATTTCATCTTCCCACTTTCTTGGTGGGTATGCGTGGGTCCCAGTCAAACCCCACTTCTAAATATGTTGGCCTGCCAAACATGCCTACTTCATGGTTGATCCCACCAAGACCGCACCATAAATATGGGCGTTTCCACATTTATTGCCTTTTTGAGTTTACTGCAACAAAGCTGATGTTTTTGATTCCAGCATATGGCCTAGGACAGAGCATAGGCAGGACAGAGGGCCAAGATGCTGGCATATCTGGGACAGTTGACATCTATGCTCATGGGGATACTGTCATGTACCTGATGGAGATTGAGCTGAAGAGGGTCTTCCCTTGCACCTCTTGTCCAACATTTATTTATTATTTATTTCAGGTACTTATATAGTGTCGTCAATTTACACAGCACTTTGCTTATATATTGTACATTCACTTCACTCTCTAACCCTCAGGGGGGCGTACAATCTAAGGTCTCTAACTTACATTCATACATACACATACTAGGGCCAATTTAGACAGGATCCAATTAACCTACCAGAATGTCTTTGGAGTGCGAGAGGAAACCGGAGTACCTGGTGGAAACCCCACGCAGGCACAGGGAGAACATGCAAACTCCAGGCAGGTGGTGCCGTGGTTGGGATTTGAACCAATGACCCGAGTACTGCTAGGTGGAAGTGCTAACCATTTAGCCACTGTGCTGCCCTATCCCTGTATAGCGGTGACAGGAGGTGTCAGGACAAAGCTGTGCATGAGAGCCATGTTGGTTGCAGCGGATGGAGATGACCATAGGCGCTAGAAAACACAATGACACTTGAACAGCAGACAGGAGCGCAGCCAGGATACTAGCCAAAATATCATCATCAAGCCATGCTGGGCAGCATGGTACAGGAACATCAGGCAGAGGCAGAGTCGTGGATTGGCCGGGAGGTGATCTGTACAGAGCCAGGCATCGATGCACAGGAAAGTAAGGCAGAGGAGCAGAGCCGGGATCGGGGTATGAGCCGAGGTCACAAGT